AGACGTTGTACCCATGGCAAGGTAGCTGGACTAGCTGACCTTTAAAGGTCCCTTTCAGTCTGAACCCCTGCATGATCATGGGAATGAACAGTGAATGGTTCTGTGCAGATGTAGGGAATCAAATCCAGTGATCCATGTAGTTCTTTGCATGTAATGTGCTTCTTTACCTATGATGTTTGTATCACATAGAAGTCTCTAGAGAATATGAAATCTGTGTTATCTCTCCTGTTCTTTTCCTTTTGTGAACAGTTCCAGTTCCAGCCTGCAAAATCATCCTGGTGATAATGAAGAAAGGACTCGTCTAATGGGCAATGAAACGTAGCCAGACATACTTTCAATTCTCTGTTTGCTGTTGTGGTGTAACCTAGTATTGAGGTGACTGGCCTTAACACTGCTTCATTATTCTGGAGCTGGGACATGATCCCTTAGTGAACAACCAGTTGTGGTTTAATTGTAGAGGCATTACTGTTTTGAAACACTAAACACTGACTGCCTTTCTTTTGGAAGTTCTCCTAAATGATGAGTAACACTCAGCTGTCAGCCTATTTAATTGTGTTCCATGTACAGCGCACCACTGTATGTGAAAAGAGGTCTGGTTTCCATGCCTGTGTGTGCTGTGCATTATTCTTGGGAAAAGCTACTATTTTGCTACCATGATTTTCTGTACTTTTTTAAAGGAAGTTCATTACTTTGTAAAAACAGAATTTGAAACTGTAAATGACGAAGCACAATATTGTTTTCAATAAAGCAACTTTTTCCCTAAGTTTTGTACATTTTCTTAGATAACAAGAGTCTAAAATACTTCTGGTCTACCAGCACTTGTGTTTTCTTGAGAATGCCTGAAAATGAGATGCAAAAATAATGAAAATTTGCCATATCTACAGAGTAAAAACTGATCTTCAGTCCTGGGGGAGACTTGTCATCTGGTGAATGCATTTATATACATACACAAAAGATAAATGCATATTTGTGTTATATATGAAGACCTAGCTTGGTGATTTTGAGATTTATTTTGCTAATAAATGCTAGCTGGAATGTTTGTACTAATTGCTTCTGCAACAGCAAATCTATAAGGTCTCTGGAGCTACTGTGGAAAAAAAACCCATTTCCTCACCTCTTCGGATGCTCAGCTGAAGATATGCAAGGGGAACTGAGACAAGGACACTCCTGACAAACTCACGCTAGACTTCTTGACCTCAGTTGTGACAAAAGTATTTTAATTTGTCATTGAGCCCATAACTGGTTTCTAGAAGGGCTTCTCTGTGGTGGCTTTTTACCACAAATAAGAAAAGTGGTCTGTCCTAGCAACTTGCAGTCAGTTTCTTCTGTGAATAGTTCCTGGATTTTACATAAGAAATATTTCTTTCTCTGCCAGAGCTCTTTTGGACTAGAAACAACTGCAGCTGTGGTAGCCAAATGGCTGTGGAACTTCAGGGTACCAAAGGGCAGGCTTCCCCAAGGAACATCTCGTTAATAGCTTCCTTTCCATTTTGTATCAGACATTAGACTTTACTGAAACCAGGAATGTATACCTCACCTTACTAGGAAATGCTGACCATGCCAGTGCTGATGATGAGCCAGGTGAGAAAGAGCTGAGAGGACTAGAGTTGGATGCAAGGTATTTTCTTAATATTTTATTTTCTCCATTTTTTTTTCTTTTCCATGAGCAGTGCAACGTTTTTTGTGACAAAGAAACCATGTAATTACCCCAAGGATCCAGGATTTGTGACTTTCAATACATCCTTTTGCTACTTTGAAATTTTCACTTGTGCAGACATACTCTACCATGACCCAGCTGTGGTTTTGGCGAGCAGATTTCAGATTGACACCATTCTGTTCCTAACTGCTTGGGTGAACACCCACTGTTTTCAGCTGTCCAGTTTCACTCAGCCTGCACCTTGGGAATGGGTGTCAACTTCCTTTCAGCAAATACACACAACTCCACTTCAGATATGACAGGTAATGTGAGAGTGCTCTAAGTGATCCTCATTCTCATGGGCAGTTTCAGCAAATACACACAACTCCACTTCAGATATGACAGTTGGGTAATGTGAGAGTGCTCTAAGTGATCGTCATTCTCATTTGTACCTGTGTAGTGCAGCTGACCTGAGCAGAAATTCACATCAGCTTTAAGCATGCATACTCATGTCACAGGACTTGGACATGTGAAGTTCTTGATATAAAGGAAATAAAAATGTGCTATGTAAGAACTTGGAAATTCTTAAGTTGACTACAACACCTCTAATGTTTAATAGTTAAATAATCAGTCCTGGGCGTTTATGAGTGATATTCTTCATCTTCTGGCCCTGGTGTTTTATTGGTATTTTGGCCATGTAAAGACCCAAACTTCATTTTGTCCACTAGATGGAACCCTAACTCTGAGAAATGTTCTTGTGAGTTCTGCAAATTGTAGTTCTGGGCTGGAGACTTTGAGTGTCACATTTTCTTTGTAGGCTTTGTTTTCACAGTATTATTTTTTCCTGAGCAGATGCTAGAAGTCAAGCACCAATTTTGTGTGCATGTGTTTACAGAACTGAGAGAAACGTACTGCTAAAATGTAGCTCTAAACTTTACCATCCAAATAAAAGGACATGTGAGCCATTCCTTTAGTTCTCAGTTGATGACCCTATGTCACAATTCATATTCTTTATGAATAGGTTTTATTCTGGGCTTTAAAGATGTCTTTGTTTATGTAAAGCACTTGCATAAAGATGTGAACTTTGGTGATAGCTTTTCCTTAAAAACTTCTTGATTGGACAGCATCACCACCCATTTTAATCAGAATTACTGATTTCTAATGCAGTTAGAGAAGAATGCAAAACTTCAGCCATTTAAATCATATATAATCAGGACACTAATCTTGTCACTTAAAATACATGAAACACCAGAGTTTGATCTACTTTCCATTGATGGCAAAAAAACCATTAAGTTAAGATTGTAGTCCATGAAGGCTCAATTTAGTTTCAAAACAGTCTGGTAAACATTAGAATTACATTTTGCACATATATAATTAGTGACTACTGCTTTCCTGTCTCATATATTTGCTTTCAGATTAGAAACTTTCTTGTGTTATATGTTTGCAGGGAGTGGTATTTCTGCCCCAGATGGTCCAAGAGCATACAATACTGAAATGGATAATGGTCACCTTTTGGTGACCTGAGTTCACTCCCACATCTCTCTCCTGACTCCTGCTGCTGTTAACTGGACATTGTATGCCAGCCAGATCAAACAACTTCCATCAAACAAACACTCTTTTCAGTGGGGTCATTTACCATGATCTCTTCTCCTTCATGGAACTCACTGAATCTGAGGGAAATCGAGCCATATGCCAGCAGGACCTCTGTTGCCATCTCTTCCAAGACAGTAGAGAAGCAGCAAGATGAAATTTATGTCCTGGGTGCTTTTGATGGGCTACATGTTGTTGAATGACAGTATTATTTGCAGGTAAGAGTTTTCTATTCTTACTTGAACTGGGAGAAGGCTGCAATAGTCTCTTTGCAGTCTGCTTTGTGCTTTTTTTTTTTTTTTTTTTTTTTTTTTTTGTCTTGGAGGCATTTAAGGCATTTTTAGCCCCCCCCCCCATACATTCATTTCTTTTCTTCATTATACATTTTGACTTCATTAGGGATGTTAATCTGCTTTTCAGTGTCATTATGGAAGTGTAGACCTTGGGTTGACCCTATGCTGTAACACCCTTAAAGGTGAGGTCACCCAGCAGGCAAGGACAGGGGAAGATGAGTATTTATGCTTCTCTGTGCTGATTGTACATCTGTGGCATATCTGCAGAAGTTGCTCTTAATGTTTTGCAGGTTGTAGGTTTGTCAGGATTTATTGCTGAGGGGAGACCTTATTGCTCCCTGCAACTACCTGAAAGGAGGCTGTTGTGAGGTGGAGGTCGGGTTGATCACTCCTCCCAAGTGACAGGACATGAGGAAGTGGCTTCAGGTTGTTCCAGGGGAGGTTTAGATTGGTTACTAGGAAAAATATCCTCACTGAAAAGATTGTCAAGCATTGGAATGGGCTGCCTAAGGAGGTGGTTGAGTTGCAATCCCTGAAGATATTTAAAGATATCCACAACACTGTTCCCACCCCATTTCTGAACAGCCACTTTTGTGAACAAGAGAAACTTTGATGATTCTAATTTCCTGTGAAAAAGAAAACAAACCTAAAAACCATGTACCATCAAAAACCAGTTATTTGGCTCAGCAGACTGCAGTGTGTTATCATACCATGATATGTACTTCATGAGAGAGGAGTCTGCTTTAATCTTTCTGGCCACAGTTTTAGGATGTGGAGAATTCCCTACCACAGAATGATTGATAACTGTTTGTGTCACAAATGCAGAAAACAAGCAGTTTCTCCAGAGCATGTCTGTGTTCTCATGGAATGGTGGCTTGATAAGAGAGCAATAAATTCCCTTTCTCTGAAAGATTTAGGTGTTCTGTGGCTTCTATCTGGTGCAAATCCTTTCTTAAAAAAATATCTTACATACCATAGGTCTATTTTAACGTTATGTTACAACCTAAAACTATATTTATTACACTACTTAAGAAAATTAATACAGCATACCTTTCTAACATAACACATACAATATTCATTTTAATACTTGTGAAAAGCCAGTCATAAGATACACACTTTTCACAGAGTGAACAGATGGAGCAGGTGGGACATGCTGGCATGTTTGAGGATGTGGGCCCTGCAGACTGTGTTTCTGGGGAGTGCACTGGGGTGCTTTGTGTTTCCCAGCTAAGATTTCTATGTGTGCCTAATTCTGATATTTGTTCTGCAGGTTTGCTCTGAAGCACAAACATTACAATTAATCTGACCAATAATATAAAAAATTGATTTGCAGGGTTTTTTTGTTGTTGTTGTTGTTTGGTTGGTTTTTTGTTTTGTTTTCTTTTTTTTTTGGGGGAGGGGTGGGGTTTGACAAGGGAATGTCTTAAAAATAAAATTGTATTCTGTGAAAGTATCAAACTGAAACCCTCTACAATTCGTGTAGTGGAAGTACTGGGAAACATTCTACTGTTTAGGGAGGAAAAGGACTGTATCTTTAAATTTCTACCTGCGCCCTAGGAGAAGCTGTGCTGTTAGGGCACAGTAACATAACTAGGTGCTGTTGGCAGCAGTGAGCGCCTTGCGACTTCCTGACTGCAGCTCACGCGTACTCCGTGCTCGGCAGCGATTGCGTGGCTGTCCCAGTGACCTTTCAGGCAGCCTCCTCCAGGCAGGGTTAACCCTTGCGATGCGCGGTCTGCCTCACGCTCTCCTCTCGCTAAGCTCAAGAAAAGAAGTCGGAGCACAGCCTGACGACAGACTCCCTCTACAGCTAAGCTGATTTAGCACCAAATTGTATCCGGCTTCACGAAGTAAATCCTCAGGTAGCCCCCACCATCAGGCGGTGGCAGCGATGGGGATGGGTGCAGTACAGGGATGGGAAGAGTGTATTGGGAGGAGAGAGGTGTGGAAAGTAGGCGGACCTCTATAGAAGTTTCCCCTTAAAGTGTCCACAGCTACTGAGAAGCCGGGTCACTGCAGTTTGCTTCAGTTTATTTGGTGCGTTTGTTTGTTTACCGGGTGTCAGTTCTTGTTCCTGGGCGAGCTCCCAGCCGGATTCCCTGCACTGACCCCTCAAGGTGATTCCTTCTGCAGTGGTTTAGGCGATTTCAACCTTTTATATAACTCATGGAGTCTTGAGCAGCTCACATTAAATGACTAAGAACTGCTAACATCTCTAACATAAGTTTTTATTGAAATTCAGTATGAAGGTAGTTAAATGGTTAAATATGTCCATGACTAATTGATGAGGGAAACATTAAGATTTTTTTTTTAATTAGATACTTTAAGGAGAAATTCAAACAACATACAGAATTTGGACTACTAAAAGTTGAGGAAATGTCTTTTTTTGATGCCAGAATATCCTGCTTCTTATTCTGTTTTCAATTCTTCCACACTATTTTGAATAGAACTGAATGTAAATTATTAACAGTAGTATTTCTTTGATTTTTTTTGTTTGTTTGTCTTTTACAAATGACATGTTGAAACAAAAGCCCACAAACCTTTTTTGTGGACAGCCAAGAAGTAGTCTCTGAGCAGATAATAAGAGGTGATGAAGTCAGTAATTAAAGTCCAAACTTCTAAATGATAAAAACCCAGGAACTTTTAATCTTGGTTTTCCATAGTTAAGGTAAGATAAAGTCTGAATTGCTAGAGTCTCTGTGCTGTAGAACACGATCATTCAAGCAGCATGTTTCAGCAGTGACAAACTAAGCTATAGCTGAGGCCTGGACTTTACACTCCAACAGCATGCAATTTGTCTTCAGCTGTGGAATTACAGCCATGGGCTGCCCTTTTCAGCATGGCTTTCTTCACCTCCTTGATGAGGAGCAGGTTATTGTATCTGTGGGGATATAATAACTCAGTGCTTGCAAGAAGAAGGGTCACAGTTGCACTGGATGTGCAACTTTTTGCTGAGATGTAAGTAAATAGAGTATACAGTGTTTCATTGAAGGTGGAATGTGGGGTGGCAGTGTGTCTAAGCAGGTCTTTATTCTAGTGCGGTCACACAGGTTTAGCAGAGGTGATCTGAGTGCCTCCTCACTGTTCCAAATCAGGGGTTTCACTAGCAGCTTTTGGGAATATAACATTGCCATCAGAATATTGCCATCAGTGTCTGGCATGCCTTATTCCTGGTGCTGTATGTGTATCTTGCCTGGAGGTCCCCTTGTGGGGCCCCCACACACCTTGCAAAGCCATGGGTATTGGCACACTACAAAGGGGAATGAATGGCTGCTCTCTTTATGGGCTGGTATGGATGCTTCAGAGGGGTTGCCAGTTTCTGAAAAAAGGACCCTGTCACATCTCAAAATTATTAGCCCACTGCTCTTCATGCCATGGTTACAGGTGTGTGTGCTCCTGTCTGTGGGAGGAAATGAATTGCTGAATTGCCTTGTCCATAACATCTGCATTATCCCACAGCTCAAGCCTGCTTGGTATGCTAAGGGCCCAGAGCTGCAGCCCTCAGGTGTCAGTATGCCTGATGCTAAAATGTTTGCTTGTGTGACACTACGCTAGTGTCTTCCTCTGCCCAGAAATTGCTCTCCTGCCCTTTCCCAGCCCGAGGATTATCTGTTTACTGCAGAGCATGTTCCAGGTGCTGAAGGGGACTGGCAGGCATATCCCTGCAGGGGCCAATGGCAGGTCTCCAGGGCCTACCCCAAGGTGCAGGAAGCAATCTGAGGAAGCACTGCAGCAACTCTGTGTATCTGCCTACCCTGCCATGGCTGCAGGATTGGAGATGCTGCCCTTGTGACCTCAAGTACTGTGGAAATGGACACCGCTGACAGCACAGGTTTTGTTAATTTTGTTTTTCTCATTTCCTAAAATAAATTAGATTTGGTCCAGCACCAGTGCAGGAACGACTCAGCTGCATGGCCAGAAATAATTCCATCTATGTGGTTGCAAATATTGGGGACAAGAAGCCATGTGACTCCAGTGATCCCAGCTGCCCCGGGGATGGTCGCTACCACTACAATACGGATGTGGTCTTTGATGCACAGGGGAAGCTGGTGGCTCGGTACCATAAGGTAAAGTGGTCTTGGAGAGACAGAAATTAATTTTCCACTACTTCCAAAATGTCTCAGTTTGGGAAGAGAATTAGATGCCAGTCATTGTCCACTGGGAGAGTTTTGTTTTTCTTTATAATTAAAAAAAATATCTCTCTTGCTATGAAGCGTCAATGCCAAATTTGCATTTGCTGTCCTGTTTCTCAAAACAGACTGGAATGAAAAATGATTGTTCTGGTAGAATTTAGTGGCATATGGTTTTTGCTGACTTCCTCAGTTCATTAGCTCACTACTACTGTAAATTGTGCTGCTTGAGCAGTTTTAGTTTTCAGTGCCAGCTTTTCACCAGACTACCACTTCATGTTCCAGGATTTCAATGTTCACATCCATTTCCTCATAAATGAGCACTCTGACTTCAGAGAGGCAGGACCTTTATTTCTGATGCTGTTTTGGCACAGTTTTTGCACAGTGGGAATTATTTAGACATAGAAAAGCAAATGAAAATGCCAGATGGGTGTAAAAAGAGATAAGGATATTGGATTATAAGTTCCTCTTTCAATATTATGTGTATACCTGCAAGTTCCATCAAAGCTGTTTATGAACTGTGTGCCAGATATCATGCCAGTGTGGATAAAGTCAGTTTATTTAATGCACTTTGGGCCCATTATTTCATCTGGTTTAGAGACAGTGCCAAGATATCTATTTGTGAGCAAACTGGGCGAATGAAACACTGATAACACAAATCTGTCCAGCCTGCTATGGCCCACATGGTAAATTACAAGTTAAGTAAACTTGAACTTCTTTTCTGGCTTGGTGTCCATATTTACTTTCAGACCACCTGGACATTTATAGAGCACTCTTAATAAATATGTACGTGAAGGAGGAAGAAAACGTTGGAAAGCTGAGAATGTCACAAACTTCAATTTTTCTGTTGGCGGAGAACATCTGCCTTTCCCCCATCATCACAGCCTTTGTTTTCTCCTCTGCAGAGTCCCAAATACTATCCTGTGCTTCATACTGGTGCTCTGTACTTCCAGTACTTCTGGGCATCTCCACACCAAAGTCACCAATTTTGTCCCTTGGCACAAGATCCCCCACGCTTCCCTTACATTGCTATTTCTCTTCTGGTTGCATTTGGGTTGCCAGAAATATAAACAAGGTGGGGGGAGTGGAGAGATTATTCTTATGCAGATGACACCAACAGGCCTGAAGGCAGCTGGCTGCTTTTCTAGCTAGATGCCAGGGCAATATGTAATATGTGTTCCATATTTTGGGTACGATGATCATATAATTTTAGCCTGATTTCCTACCTGTGAGGGCTTCCAACACAGGTCAAAATTTTTCTTTATTCATTCTGAACCACTTTAGGGAATGACCCCAAGACACATGGTAAGTAAGTGCCTCTAACTGGTTTCTCTTATTTTCCTTCCCCTACAGTATAATCTCTTTCTAGGAGAAAATCAGTTTAATTATCCAAAAGAGCCAGAAGCTGTCACCTTTGAGACTCCTTTTGGGAAGTTTGGCATTTTCACTTGCTTTGACATCCTTTTCTATGAGCCTGCCGTGGTCCTGGTGAGCAAGATGCAGGTGGACACCGTGCTCTTCCCAACAGCTTGGATGAATGTCCTGCCCTTTCTGACTGCAATTGAGTTTCACTCTGCCTGGGCCATGGGCATGCGTGTCAATGTCTTAGCTGCCAATACTCACAACACCAGCATGGAAATGACAGGTAACTTGATTTTCACTCTGTGCAAGAATCTTTATAACCACGAATCTCTTATTCCCTGTTCTACAAAGTGATTTTGCAGAGGAATATAATGTATTTCTCTGGAAGGTGAAGAGACTAGTCACTAAATTTTAAAGCTGATGGATCCTGTTCCTGTTGGTTTCATAAAGACACAACAAAACTCACAGTGTTTTATTTTCCCTAGCTTATTAGGATTATCTTTTCTTTTAATGGCTCTAAATAAGTAGTAGGTCACTGCCCTTATGCCTGAACAGAAATTTTTGTGTTTTTTAAGGCTCTTTTCCTCTCCACTTCTAAGTCTATGATTGAATGCCAAACTGTAAATATACTCATAAACCATATATGTGGCTACATTTATTCTGCCAACTGAGATATTTATTTTTATAGCTGCATTTAACACTTGTACAGAAAATCATTAAAAACACATGTTCAGGCCTGTTGTAGTAACACTGCTAAGATGTCCACATCTTCATTTTAGAAGTAGCATTGATTTTTTTTTTTAGACCTCAGATTATAGAATAGTATATTTCAGTTACACCAGTATCTTCACTGAGCTGTGCAACCACAGTATTGTTTTGGGACTTTTCATTTGAAATGCCTGACAGGCTTCTGCAGTGATGGGTATGACAGAACTTTGATTTCCCTCGGTTGCTTGGTGCTGGTCAGATGTGAATCCCCCAGGAGGGGAGGAGTTCTCAGCCAGTGTAAAGGGGGCTGGACAGTTGCTGTCTCCTTCTGTTCATGGACAGGCCTGTGATACTTGCCTGTGTTGTGTTTTGGATTGTCTCAATCAGTAGCTGGTCCTTTCACATCAATCAGCCAAGAAACAAGGAATTATCAACTACATTGGACACAGGGGAAAAGAGAACTCAGGAGGCTATAAATATAATCATAGCGTAACATAAAAAACCAAACATCTTCTGGCTACACTGAGCAGACCTTATCTAAGGGAATAAATGCTATTCTTTGCCAAAGCATGAGCTCTGTGTACTGAGTTGCAATGGTCACCTTAGATGAGACTAAAATGACTGTAATCTGTATAGAATAGTGGATAAGCTATCAGAGATGATTAGAAGGACAACATGATTTTTTAAATTCTTCTTGGACTGACTACTGTGCTCTCCTCAGGGAGTGGCATTTATGCACCAGCTGGAGCCAGAACATACTCCTACAACATGAAAACTGAAGATGGTCACCTCCTCATTGCTGAACTAGATGCACACCCTCGTCTTTCTCCTGCCTCCCCACCTGCTGTCAGCTGGAACTCATATGCTCTGAGTATTGAAAGATTCTCACAGAATGACCATGAATTCACAGGAATTGTCTTTGAAGACCTCTTTACTTTCACGGAGCTCGCTAAGCCTGGGGGGAATCTCACTGTCTGCCAAAAAGACCTCTGCTGTCATTTGAGCTACAAGATGGCAGAGAAAAGAGATGATGAAGTTTATGTGCTGGGTGCTTTTGATGGCCTTCATGTTGTTGAAGGACAGTACTATCTGCAGGTAATTCTTTGGAAGGGGTTATTTACTTTAGGAAGCTTATTTACAGGGAGAAAATTTCAGGTGGAAAAGCAGAAGACAATGTCTTCTATGCTGGAGTCCTGGTGCACCTTTTGATAGTAATGGAAAGAAGTGGCTAAAACTTCCAAGCCTATTTGCCTTCAAATCCAACAAATGCAGTAGAGAGGTCTCTAAACCTCTTCTTCTAAATGCTCAGAGTGCACTCACTATTTTAGGGGTGTGCAATGTTAGCTAAATTTAGGTTCTTTTCTGTAAATATCTGCAGTAAGTGTTTTGAACCTCCTCTGTATCACAGAATCATAGAATAGTTAGGATTGAAAAGGACATCTGAAGATCACATAATCCAATCCCTTTGCCAAGGCAAGGTCACCTGGAGCAGATTACACAGAAACACATCTGGGTGGCTTTTGAGTGTCTCCAGAAAAGGAGTATCCATGACCTCCCTGGTCAGCCTGTTCTGATGCTCTGCCACTCTAAATGTAAAAAAGTTCTTCCTCATGTTGAGGTGAAACTTCTTGTGTTTTTATGGCCATTGCTCCTCATCCTGTTGCTGGGCACCACTGAATAGAGCCTGGCACCATCTTCTTGGCACACACCTTAGAGATATTTGTATGTATTGATGAGACCCCTCTGTCTTCTCTAGACTTAACAGCTCTAGCTCCCACAGTCTCTCCTCATAAGAGAGAAGTTCCTCATTCCTAATCATCCTTGTGGCCTCAGCTGGACACTCTCCTTTTTTTTTCTTGTACTGGAAAGAAAGAGGAGCCTGGACACAGTACTCCAGATGTGGTCTCACTGTATTTTCATCAAAGAGTTGCCGTTAAAAATCAGTTGATAATAGTTATCTTTATGAGATGCTCTGATAAGTTAGGGTCACAGAGATGGTAATTTTTTGTCATTATCCAAATCATAGCAATGAATCTTACTTAAATGGCTTATGACTTTTAGTGGAAAAATCCTCCCTTCCTCTTCTTTAATCAAATATTTGCAAAGACAGTGAGTTACATCCTGGTTGAATTTTCTTAAAGCCATATTTGAAAACATCCTTTGCCTTCATAATTAAGTTATTGTGCCAGCAGATTGTACTTCTTTTTAGTTACTTCTGTCTGTCAGCATCACCATTTCGTACCAGCTGGTGCAGACTCTGGGATATGAGGGGAGGTGTTATCCAGCAAACAGCTCATCTAATACTAGAAAGGTAACTTGAATAAATTCAGTTCTTGGTGAGCTTGGTTGCAATATTTATTTCAGTGGTTGTGGAAGTTGCCAGATAGTCTCTGACAGAATTGAAAGTTCTAGAGAATACAGGAATTTCTACTCTTCCTTTTTCCATCAATACTTTTTTCATTTCCTCAGAACATATTCCTTATTTCTCTGCTTATTTGCATTTCAACACAAAACCACATTTGCTGATGAATAATACTTCTGATTTTTTGCATTTATGCTTCTATCCCCTAATACCAGACACGTAGAAAAACTCCATCACCTATCAGCAAAACCGGACAACATCCTTCAAATCATTCCTGAATCAGAGGAGTGATAGCCCTGTTTCATATTTTCTCATGAAGACCATAAATATTTATCAGCTGGATAATTAACTTTCATGATAAAAGGGAAACAACACTGTGATTCCTACTTTATGTGCTGCAACTACTAACACAAAACTGTAACAAAAGATGCTAACTTCATCTCCTTGGCCTATATTAACTAGGATTTGGACAGGGAATATCAAATTCAGACTTCCCGTGGACTACCAGGCCATATAATGAAGTATAATTAGCAACATGTACAATTAGCAGTAAGAGGACCTGGATGTGCACTTGTACAACATACCCATGTAGAAGACTTTGCTTTGTTTGCCTAAAATTTCCATACACAAACTCATCTTACTAAGACATGTGGGAAAGAAACTTTCAAATAAGACAATTGCCAATTGAAAGAATTAGTGGAAGGGACAGGATCTGGCTTCAGAGATTAAATAAGGTGCTTTGACTGCACTTATGTCAAAGACAATTTATTTGTAAAATTATAAGACTAAGGCAATGCAGGCCTGGAATATGCCCAGTCAGATCAAGGGGTAAAAAAATAAGCTACAGCTGAAAAGTTACCATCTTGCTAAATATATTGTTGTCTCCTCCTCCCCACAGATCTGCACTCTGCTCAAGTGCCCCAGCACAAACCTGAGCACATGTGGGCAGCCCATGGAGATGGCTCAGACCAAGTTTGAGATGTTCTCCCTCAGTGGCACGTTTGGCACCAGCTACATCTTCCCAGAAGTGCTGTACAGCGGGGTGCAGCTGGCCCCTGGGGAGTTCGAGGTAATGGGACACCCTTGTGGTTTGTCAGACATCAGTGGTCAAAAAGCCACTACAAGAGCAACTTAGTTGTTACCAGAGTCCTTGTCCTCTGCCTTGAGTTCAAGGCAGCTTTCTTTCTGCCTGATTTTCCTGCCTGTATTCATACAGTAAGTCCACCTTGACAATTCTCTTCTGCCCTGTTCCCCCAAATCCAGATCTCCCTCAAGACAGAAATGTAGTTTTTCCTCAGACTTCCTGCTAGCCCCAGTTGAGACTGGAGCTCTCCCAACTAGGTCAGCATTACTGAATATACGATTTTGTGCTTGCCACACAATAGTACTGCTTTGATGCTGCTCCTGCTTATTTTACCTTTTCATTACCAGGTGCTAGCTGATGGACGTCTGAAAAATCGGAATACTACATCAAAGCCAGTTTTGAGTGTAACACTCTATGGGAGGTGGTATGAAAAGGACCCTCCATCCACATATCAAGCTTCAGCATGATTTCAGTGCAGATCCTTCAAGCTTTCATCGACCCGTTTCTGTAATGCCAATTAATCACAAATAATGGTAATTCATAGTAATGTTCATAATTAAAATGGCATTCTATTTTTCTAGTTGTCTTATCTACCAGCATAGTTACTGCACTTTGATTTATTGACTTGATTTTGCAGCAAAAAATCAATATGATGCTGGACTGTTGTGTGTGTGTTTTTATATGATGGATTTGGTTGGCATAGGCTTGGCCTTAATATTGGGAACACTAGAAAATAAATTCCTCTGATTTTAGTGGTGTAGGATTCAGTGGGTTGTGCCCCAATAAAAAAGAGCTTTTAATTATTTGAAATGTTTGTTGGAGTATTAGCAGCCATTTCCACAACACTGTTCCCACCCCATTTCTGAACAGCCACTTTTGTAAACAAGAGATTACCAGAATCTTTGAAGATTCTAACTTCCTTTGAAAAGGAAAACAAGCATTGAAAACATGTTCCTTCAAAAAAACAGTTACTTGGCTCAGCACACTACAGGGTGTTATCATATCGTGGTTGTCAGTTCTGAAAAACAGCTTGATGACACCTCCTGACTGCACTGGCTGCTATTCAGTGAGAGAATTTTTACTGCAACCAGTAAACAAGTCACTGAGTGACCTGGTATCTCATAGCAGCTCCTCCCTTCCATCTTCTCTATTTCTTTCTGGTCATGTAACACCAATGTATGTGAAATGAGCTTTTCCCTTTGCTCCCCCTTGTTAATGCTGGGTGGGGCTGCCCTGCAGATGAATTTTCTGTAGGAATTTGGTGATTTATAGTTCTGTTTCAGACCAGCTAGTCCTGGTGAGATGTCGCTGTTCACATTTTTGCTTTCTCTTCTCCCCAGTGACCTGTGTTTTGTTGATGCTGCTGGACCTTAGTGACCTTCTTTCAGCAGATCAGTGTATAAAGATGTGCATGTTCTGTGGCTGTGTCCTTAAGAGTGGTCAGAGACCTGTTTGTGTAATTTCTCCTTCCTTTTCCCCACATTGCTACAATTGCTGGTCTCACCAAAGAATCACAGAATCTTCAGAGTTGAAAGAGACCTTTGAGATCATCCAGTTCAGCTGTAAACTTGACATTGTCACTGTAACCCCTAAACCACTAAACCATCATGCAGTGCCATATCCAGACCCCTCTTAAACATCTCTGGGCCTCCATCACCTCCCTACACAACCTATTCCAATGCTGACCACTTGTACCATGAAATTTTTTTTTTCTAATATCTAACCTGAATGTCCTCTGTCCCTGTTTAAGGCCATTACATCTGGTCCTCTCATTGCAGGCACAGCAGAAGAGACTGGTCCTCACCTCACTGCAAACTGCTTTCCGGGAGTTGTAGAGAGTGATGAGGTCTCCTGTGGGCTTCTTCTTCTTCAGACTAAACAAATCCAGCTCCCTCAGCTGTTCCTCATAATGCATGTTTTCTAGAACTTTCAGGAGCTGCATTGCCCTTCTCTGGACAGGCTCCAGCACCTCAATGCCCTTGTTAAAGTGAGAGTTCCAGAACGAAACACAGCATTCAAAGCACAGCCTCACCAGTACAGTGGATGATCGCTTCCCTTGTTCTGCTGGCCACACTGCTTGATACCGGCTCAGATGCCATTGTCCTTCTGGGCCAACTGGGCACACTGCTGGCTCACACTGAGCCAGCTGTCAGCCAGCACTCCCAAGTCCATTTCTGCCAAACAGCTCTCGAGCCACTCCTCCCCCAGCTTGTAGCACTGCCTGGGGTTGCTGTGACTCAAGCGTAGGACCTGACACCTCACCTTCTTGAACCTCTTGGAATTATCCCTTAGTCCATTCGTCGAGTCTGTTCAGGTCTCTCTGTAGACCCCTCCTACCTACCCTCACACAGATCAACATTTCCACCCAACTTAGTGTCATCTAGCCATTTTTTTACTCATCTAAGATTTTTTCCATGATGTTCTCAAGGTCCTCATTCCCATATTCTGGAGCTGGTGAGACATTGGGAGTGCAAATATTCTCCAATCTCCAGCACTGTGATTACTGCTGCTGTGCGCCGTATAACCTTTTTTGTTTCCAGATGTATATAGATACACACATGTGACATAACAGTGACATGTCTCACATAATGACATGTTTATCAAAAGCCCCAGACAATGTGCTCTGACTCATGGAAGCTCAACATTATTGCTGCTAAGGCCACACTGTCTTAAAACCTTGTTCACTGTTTGAGTCAGTTACTGCGTGACCACAGACTGATCTCAGTCCAGCAAGGGATTATCCAGTGTGGTCCTCCTCCCATGGGTACAAACTCAGTGCAGACACTGTACTTGTCCCCAGGGAACCTGGTGGGTGACACCACAACTCTCTCCCAGGGAAAGGATCTGGATATCTGGATTTGAGGGAAGTTATGGCTTCTGGGAAGGTCTCATCTTGCAGAAAGAATTCAGCAGGAGTGTGTGGCCAGTCTCAAAGCTGAGAGGTGGCTTCTTCAGGTTTGTTCACTGCCTATGCCAGTCCTCGGGATAATGGAATGTGTGTGCAGGTGGTGTAGTATCCCAACCCTGAATGTGGTGAGTATCTTGAATCCAGGATTTTGTTCAAGGTCATTGTGGTTTGGTTAAAGTATGTTGAGTATTTTCCTACTGAAGACTGGCAGAAGCCATAATGGCATAATGGATTCTTTTTGCTACAGAGATTGCACAACACTTATCATTGTGAAATGTGTTATTGTGAGAAGTGAGTCAAGCATACAGAAAGCAATCCTATGCAAGTCCACCCATTACCCACATACCAACTCACTCTGTATAAAAACAGGGCTGCGTGTAACCACTGATAACAATAAACACTTCTTCGAGGGTAGTGCAGAAAAAACCCTTTCCTTACCTGACTGCTGAGTCAGAACCAAAGAAGGTAAGAAACTTGGGTGCCAGATACAAGTGATTTTTGTGCACATGCAGCTTTAGCTTCAAGATATCTGCCGGAGTGATCTGTTGATAGAAGAAAGCACACTGTAATAGGCAAAATCTAGAAACTGTGTGTCCTATTCACGATAGTCTTCCTACTGAGACCTTTGGAGACCAGAGATCTTTGGGGTTTGGTTATTGAGTGGTGGGTATGCTGATGGTTCTGCTCAGACAACCAGTCTTCCCTGCAGCTCCCCCCTAGGATATGCAGTAGACCCCAAAGTCCCTGCTACTCCAAGCTGTGCTGTGCTGAGCTGTGGTGGCTCAGGTATTACCCATGCTAGGACCTACATCTCCCAGCACCTCATGCCCTTGAGTTTGGGCAGGAATGGGTCCATGCTGTTCTCTGCTGAGATTTCCCAAATTTTGTTTTTTTTCTGGGACCCATGCTTGCCTTGAACTGAGTTACTACAGCAATAATATGCCTGATTGTTTTGTATATCTGGTAAGTAATGTGTTTTTCCAGCTGCAGCACAGTGGTGGCTTCTCAGTGACTTCCCTGCTGTTGCTGTGAGGCAGAATTGCTCAATGCTGGCAGCTCTCTTGCCTTTGATACTGAGTCTTTCCGGACAGGGTGATTACATGGGTGTCATCTTTTAGCTACCCTGGGGAATTCCCAGCTTTTGTGCAAGACTTCCTCTTTTTAAAGCCCACTGCCTTTGCCTGCCTGCCACCCCCTCTTAGTTGATTTCAGGCTGCAGACATGGGGCTTCCTAAAACTTGAGCCTCTGCTGTGCTTTTGGTGCTTTCTGCTCTGCAGGCCTGTGCCCTGAGCACAGATGTTGCAGCCATCTGTGAGCACAATGACATTTTAGAATCATAAACTTGATGAAGTGTTGGCTTCTCCTGAGGAGGCCTTGGTGCTGATGGAGAAGAATCATTCTTTTGGGTGACACTACATAGTGAAGAGGAAGATTTTTCAAGGAGGAAAAAAGATTTTTTAAAATTTATTTCTTCAAAGTGCTAAATGACAAGTCAGGTTATATCCCTTTACACTCACTAAAGTATCACAGGTCCTAACTAAGATTTTTCTAAGGATGTTCTAAAACTATAGCAGCAATATTCCATTTACAAAATACTATGCTAAAAATTTATTTCCATGAGAAAAAATAGTGCTTTCCATTACTAATTTCAAGTTGCTTATTGTACAAAAACTTCCTTTTGAAAGGACCATAGTAAAGAAAAAATTGTGTCGTCAAATTCTTTCTCACAAAACAAGCAAGTCTGTTAGCTCTAGGCAGAGAGGTCAGCACAATTCAAGGGATGGTTTATACTGCAGTGTGAGCCCAGTGGGGAGGACACTCTCAAGGCACGCACTTGAACCATAACAAGCCATTGGCCAAAAGCAGGAGGTATGGCAGGACCATGTCTCATAAGCATTGCTGAATTATCTGCTCTTGGAAGCAAGAGGGCTGTACCCCACACAGGTATCTGTCTTCAGAAGCGGCTGAAGTTTTCACTGACAGCAGCCACGTGCAGTATGGTGATATGGAGTAGCATATCCTAACCAGGGGAGTCTGGGCTTGCCCCAAGATGGGTTTAAAAGTGTGGAGAGGGATGCGCAAATGAAATGTGTAAGTGCTCCTTCCAATGAACCCCTTGTAGATTAACTTGGCTTCTGACAAGATCTCTTAGCCTTTTGTTCTACTTTTATTTAAAACTTTTCATATTGGAAACAAGATCAAATTCCTAGGAAAGCTTTGGCTTTTTGGCAGAAATCTTCTCAGATTACTCAACAGAAGATTATTGCCAAAGCAAACCTATTAGTCTTTACTCCTCCTCTTTCTCTCTAGTTTATATTCCCCATGCTGATCCAGGAGCTGGGAGGCTGCAGCCATGCTCCCTTCCCAGGCTCTCCTGCCCGCTGTGGTGCTGGCACTCGCAGCCCTTCAGGCCCTTGCCTCCGACACCTTCATGGCAGCCGTCTACGAGCACGCCGTCATCCTGCCGCATCCCACCGAGGAGCCCGTTTCTCCCAGCGATGCTTTGGCCCTGATGAACAAAAACATGGATGTCCTGGAAGGGGCCATCAAGGAAGCCGCCCAGCAGGTATGAGGGCTACCTCAGTGAGGGTTGTCCATCAGTGTTTTCTGCTCCTGCTGACCCTCCTGGCTGTGTGCTGATGGGTGCCCTTTAAACGGAGCCTGTTGTGACAGGGTGCCCACATCATTGTGACTCCTGAAGACGGCATCTATGGCTGGCGATTCACAAGAGAAACCATCTACCCCTACCTGGAGGATATCCCTGATCCGGTGGTGAATTGGATTCCCTGCACTGACCCCTCAAGGTGATTCCTTCTGCAGTGGTTTAGGTGATTTCAACCATTTGTCTGTCTCATGGAGTCTTGAGCAGCTCACATTAAATGACTAAGAACTTAATCTATAAAAATTCACAAGTACTGTAGGAAAGAGATGCATCAAAAAGAATTCTTATTTACATGGCAATGGGAATATATCAGGTAAAAGCATTGAGACAGTTTCACTTGTAAAAGGACAAAAATGAGGATGTTTTAGGCAAAATAATTATTTTAAAAACATGCACAACTTTATCGATTTAGATCACTTGTGAAAACCTTCTGTAAGTAGAAGCTATTTTATTGTCATGTAGCTACATAGATCAGACAAGCTGATTCAATCCTCAGTTCAGGTGACTGAGTGATTTCTAAACCAAACTGCACAAAATATTAATCTAGATCTGAAAGAAAGACCTTTTGGAAATCCAGCCACTTGCACATCTGCCGTGTTACACACAGAGGTGGTCCCAATGTGTGTGAGCTTGGGACACTGAAAAGACTGAGTTCATGTCTAAGCTAAGCTTTTATGTTCTCTTCTGAGGCCATATGAAGCTAGATTTCAGGAGTCCTCAGCTCTGTAAATGCTGTGCCCGCTTTTTACTACAGGCATGTAGAAACAATTATTTAAAAAGGCTAAAATTTTCTTCTGAATCAGGACTTAGAGCTGCTTGATAATTTGCTTTTTTAAGCTATTTAAGATTTATGTCTCTGTACTGATTTATTCTCGTCTTTGCTTTGTGAAGTTTTTCACATCTTTGTATGCATGTTAGCTAGGAATTCTATGCACACAGAAAATAACATTGTAAAGGATACAGGAAAGAAGAACACAGGGAGGCCATTTTTTTAAAGATAAAAGAGATTGGCAATTTAAAATGATGCTATGAACAGAGGAGAAAATGAACAAAACCTATGATTTGACCTATTGCTTTTTCAGCATCTGGGAATGTGCAGTTAATGGAGTAGTAATTCTGAATGCATTACTTTTACATGGGACACTTAAAATTCTAAGACTTTTTTTTCCTTCACTAAAAATGCATTAGATTTGGTCCAGCACCAGTGCAGGAACGACTCAGCTGCATGGCCAGAAATAATTCCATCTATGTGGTTGCAAATATTGGGGACAAGAAGCCGTGTGACTCCAGCGATCCCAGCTGCCCCGGGGATGGTTGGTACCACTACAATACGGATGTGGTCTTTGATGCACAGGGGAAGCTGGTGGCTCGGTACCATAAGGTAAGGAAATGCTTCAGCATCCACCTCTAATTTATTATCAATGAATTTTTCAGCTCTCTGGCACCAATTTCAGATGGTTTTTACAGTAATTTTACATTATTATAAGTGACAACCAATCCAGGATGATGTGATGACCTTATGGCCAGAAGGAAAACAAAGTAATTGCTTGACCAGTCAGGCAAATTATTCCCAGGAGCACTGCAGCTGCAGAGTGCATGCCAGCTGCCAAACACTTGAGGGCTACATTTATGACAGTAAATGGTAAGAAAACATGACAGAATTTTCCATACTCAGTAAACATTAGCTTTTCCTTGATACATTCATAGCCAACCTAGACAGTGCTTTTGCAGGGGATATTTTGGCCCCTGGTCTTGAAGTTTAGCAGATAATACTGAATGGGCATTGCTTTCAGGAGGTACAGACACCCCAGTTTTGGGGAGGAGGGTCAGTTGGATGGATATAAACCAGCTGGGCCAGCCAGCTCAGTTACCTGAGCAGTTACCTGAGCAGTTACCTCAGTTCCCAGTTCTGCATTAAAGCCTGTCTCAGACACAAAAGCTGTTCATAATCTTGCCTTATTTTCAGTCACTAATGTGCCATTTTCTTCATCTGCAGTACAATCTGTTTAGAGGTGAAACGCAGTTTAATTATCCAAAAGAGCCAGAAGCTGTCACCTTTGAGACTCCTTTTGGGAAGTTTGGCATTTTCACTTGCTTTGACATCCTTTTCTATGAGCCTGCCGTGGTCCTGGTGAGCAAGATGCAGGTGGACACCGTGCTCTTCCCAACAGCTTGGATGAATGTCTTGCCCTTTCTGACTGCAATTGAGTTTAATTCTGCCTGGGCCATGGGCATGCGTGTTAATTTACTTTCTGCAAATACTCACAATACCACCATGGCAATGACAGGTGAGTTACATTCAGGAACAGGGAATTTGTTCCCAGATTCAGAAGTAGGGAGAAATGGTTTAGACACAGTGAAGTCTCTGAAAAATAGTGTTTTAATTGGACTGAAAATTGTTATTTGCTTCTGAATATAACAAACAACTTCAGGTAAAAGAATGTTGAATTTTCTGAAAAAGGTAAAAATAGAAAGACCACGACATTAAGTTTTGATAACTGAAAAGTAAAATTTTATTTCAGAAAATAGCACAAAGTTTCACTTAAATTTTCAGTCTCTCATCTAGAAGCAGCATTTTCTGTTTAAAATTCAATCAACAGTTAAATGGAGAAAAAATGTTTTAATCAGAACCTAATAGTGTAAAACCAAAAGGAGAATTCCACTTGTATACTGAATAAAACTTTTTTTCCCTCTTAACTGAGAAAACTACATAGCTGCATCTGTTATTCTTCCCTGAATCAAAGTGAAAACTACAAAGGAATATTTTTGCCTGCCCTAAATAGACTGAGTTTCGGCCATAGCCCAGTGTGTCCTTCAGTGAAACATAACTGCCCCCATCATTACCTCCTTTGTCAAATATGCCACTCGGAGAGCTATGATTTATTTTCAAATGAACCTAAGTTTTAACACTAGCATGGGTATTTTAGCTGTTCTGTGCTTTAAAATTATTCCAAAATCTCTCAGTAACGTATTGAATGAAAAGAGTATCACTGAACAACAATGCCAGTGTGGTGTGGGGGTGACTGGCGCCCCTGCCAAGCCGTGCTGTGTGGTGCTGGCTAACGCAGGGCTGGTGATGTCCTTGGCAGGCAGTGGGCTATTCACACCAGAAGGACCTGCTGCCTACCACTACGACAGTGCCACCGAGGAGGGACGTCTCCTGCTAGCAGAGTTGAGTGCACACCCCCGTCTTTCCCCCACTTACCCTCCTGCCATCAACTGGAGTTTGTATGCCACGAGCATCAAGGAATTTCCTGGAGAAAATGACACTTTCTCGGGAGCTGTCCGGAAGGATATATTCACTTTCAGAGAACTCAGGCACAAGGATGGAAATTACACTGTTTGCCAAGGAGATCTCTGCTGTCATCTGGTCTACCAGATGTCAAAAAAGAGGAGAGATGAAGTTTATGTCCTGGGTGCATTTGATGGGCTTCATGGTTCTCTCATAAAATACCATTGGCAGGTAATTGAATGTTTAGAGGTGAGTGTGTCCACATGCCAACCACCTAAAAATATTTGTCCATTACTGCATCCTGGGAAGTTTTCTTGCTACCAATTTCAGCTCGTGGTTGCTGAAAGCTTAGTGGTGTTTTGCCTTTCTGTCTCCTCCTCCCCACAGATCTGCACTCTGCTCAAGTGCCCCAGCACAAACCTGAGCACATGTGGGCAGCCCATGGAGATGGCTCAGACCAAGTTTGAGATGTTCTCCCTCAGTGGCACGTTTGGCACCAGCTACATCTTCCCAGAAGTGCTGTACAGCGGGGTGCAGCTGGCCCCCGGGGAGTTTGAGGTAATGGGACACCCTGGAGCTGTTTCTTGCAAGGTTTCTCACGCTGTGGCACTGAAAACTGATCTGGCAGCAAAGTCCCATCCAAGAATGTCTTTCTTTGGTTCTGCAGACTGGAACCCAAGGGGACTGATTTAAACAGGTGCATTGAATCAATCCTTACTGATGAGAGCATACCATTCCTGGAGCTGAAACTCTCTTCAGTGCTTTCTTTAGCAAATCTGCCTTCCCACTTCAGATCGCAAATGGAGAAAACACTGCTTTCAATGAGCTAATTTTTACAGGTTTCTCATTATGGTCATTTTAGGACAAAAAGAAATAAAAAACTCTGAGAAATTACCTAAACAATAAAAATTACTTAGAAGTATAATTTGTAAGAGCAGAGATTCTATGCAGTTAAGAATGTTAAAAGTGATTTTTGAGGGATTTGTGGTTTGTTTGTTTTTTTTTTATTTGCTGGCTCATATTTTAGTTTTGCCAAAGGTGTTTTCATTCATAAACCCTAGATTAGTTTTATGCAATAGGCTAGATGAAATCCTAATTGATTTGGAAGAAGTATTTAACAGCTTACAAAAGACAATGAAGACAGTGAGAAAGACCTGAAAAATTTTAGGGGAAACAAGGGTGATTTTTTTACAGAGTGGGAAATTGAAAAGCATTGTTCACCCTTCATACTTGTTTTTGAATGAGACTTCTGTAAAAATAGGCACATCAAAGAATTTATTGGTATGCTAAAAATATGATCATGGTCTAATTTTAAAACAATAGGTTGTACTTCCTTAACAAATACATGCTTACCTTTTGTCACAGGGGAAAAAAATTGTCACAGGTGTTCACAGTTGGTGATTTCAAATTGATACATAACAAGGAACTAAGAAAAGCTACATTTGGCCAGTAGCTTGAAATTCTCTATTTCCATCTGAAAATTGTTTTGGGGTCTACAAATCAAAAAATGTTTCAAGTATGTCCTAGATGTGCATATAATCTTTGTTGCCTTGTATGAGTAACTAAAGAGAACCTAACAAATTAGTTACTCTCACTCTCACTTTCTTATGAGGTGGAGAAAATGGTACTTATTTCCAAAGACGGAAGAATGTTTAAGGATTTCTGGGACCAAGGAAATCTGGGAAGGCTATAATGGGGAGGCTGTGGCAAACCCAGAAAGAATTCTGTTTTCTTTCACTATCATGACTGTTTTTGAAAGTGTTGCATCAAAATATTCAGCATCTAAGGTCTATTCTTTCTATGCACTATTGCTACTCTGTTAGTTGACTGTTAGTGCTGTTCTTTCTCTTTTCCACCAGGTGCTACGTGACGGGCGTTTGAAAAGCAAGCATGGCACTTCAAAACCGCTCATTACAGTGACACTTTTTGGAAGGCCTTATGAGAAGGACCAGCCACATCCTCTGCGAATTTCCCTGTAAAGTATCTCCTTAGGAGTCACACACTCACCAGTGACAGGAGGGGAGTTTCTTCCTGAGCTGTAGCAGTTACCTTGTATGATTCCTGTTCTGCAATATTGCACTTCTGCTCAGCACCTGTGGCAATTGGGCTTATTTGGGAGAAAATTATGTGTTCACCCTGGTGTGAGTGCCTTTTTAATAGGGCTTGAGCCAGTGCAATTATTTTTTAGTAAGCATGATCTGTCACGTGAAACTTTTAATCAGAATTCTTTTTCCCCCAAAATATCATATAGATTGCTAGGATTACAGCAGAAAGAAGACTGATATCAATATCTATGAAATGTGGTTTGTCATTTTATTGGAGAATAAATTCTCTCCAAGAAAGTCTTTCTGTCCCTTTTGCTCTTTACTGTTTTTCAGACTGTGTAATCATTAAGTTTCTGTATTTTTCAGCCTTACAGCCCAATCAACAGGGCCTACTTAACACTCAATGAGTCTTGGCCCCATTCTGACCAAGGTACTGTAAAATAAAGAGAAAACCAGATTTGAAAATCTTAGGTGCAATCTTAGAGAGAGAAAGCGGTCCTCCACAACCCACCCAGGTGTTGGGTCTGGCTAAGATAAGATACAGCACATCCAGTTCTGCAGTCCCTCTGATTTTGCACCTCTTTGTATGTGGCAGATGGGTGTTGGGTCCAGGGCACTTCACATCCAACTTGCCATATACAACACAGTACTCCAACACCTTCTCCTGGGTATATGGATAATTACTTCAAAACTGTTAAGATATATGAAATAGGCAATCTTTTAGCACCTGAAACACATTTCACCCTGTAGTGTGAGAAATGAGCCTTATTTTGGATTTCTAGCAGTGATATATCAAACTTTGCAGCCCTGGGCCCCATTTCTGTCTATAATGTTATGGAGCAAATGAGCTTTGTTTGCATTAAATATGCCTTGGAGTGGTCCCTGCCTCCACACTTATCCCATAGCATTTTGCATCTACTGCCATTCTTACAGCCTGCACCAAGGTTAGCACTGAGCTGTGCTAAATGTGGCATGTAAGAAACACTCTGTTTGTGGGAAGTCAAAACTTCCCACTCCACGCACACCTACGTATGTTATCCAGAAGTTGTTGAAATCACATGATTTCTGGTTTTCCCCATACTGCAGCTTCTCAGCATGCAACTTCAGGGGCTCTTTTTGGGAGTGTTTTCATCCTGGAAATAAAACAGTTGAACTTTCACTCAGTGGGATAACTGTACCCCTTGGGAGCAGTTACTCAAAACAGACAGGGACTCTTACTTGTGCTTGCTGGTTCCTTGTTCAGCACCTCACAAGTGAACACAAAAATCTCTCACGTGTTGCTCACTGGCATTTCTGGAAGTTTTGGGTACTTCCCAGGTACAAGCAGAGCTGACTGTCCTGGGTTGTCAGAGTTTGGCACAGGTAGGATACAATAAATATTGCTAGTTAAATACAGGATATCAGGAAAGGACTCTTGTATCTCATCCATTAGCAGAATGCAGAAGTCCAGGATTCCTTGAAAATTACACTAAAAGCAAATTTGAAGAATGGCTCACCTGCAGTTTTTGAGATGTGCTGCACAATTTTCCTCTACCCCCCCCCTCAGGGGGTTTCAAGGGTGCCATGCAATGAAGTGCTGATGAGTTTATGAAACTCTTTCCCATTTCTGATGACAAAGCAAGAATTTGGATGAGCAGAGGATGAAGTCGCATGGACTGTTGCGGCAGCCTCAGAATACTTCCATCATTTCAATACACAAGAACCACAAACTGCTTTTGGGAGAGCATTCTCTGAAGGGGTTGCAAAAACCAACCAGATCTTTACCTCAGTGATTGCTGGTCACAAGTGACTAGACAAAGTTCAGTTAATGAAATATGAGGTTTAATAATAAAAGGAAATTTCAAATTATGCAAATTACAGAAACATTCAGAATAGAGAAGCAGAGAAGTAATGAATGTCCAATGCAACAAATGACATTTAACAGCAGCAATATTTACTGACTCTGGGAAAGATCTGCCAGAGCAGAAAAGTCAGATTAATTTATAAGTAATTCACGAATTACAGAAACATTCAGAATAGAGAAGCAGAGAGGTAATGAATGTCTGATGCAACAAATGACATTTATGTTTAACAGCAGCAGTATTTACTGACTCTGGGACAGATCTGCCAGAGTAGAAAAGTCAAATTAATTTATAAGTAATTCACATCAATGATCTGACCCCAAAACCTACTACAGAAGGTATCTTAATGAGACCCATACCTCTCTGAGCTGGAAAAGCAAGCTCTTCATATATCAATATTTCTTCCTTACACCTTGATGCTGGCCAAAGCAAACAAGACCCACCTGTCCACAGTGTTTCTAACCTCACAGAAAGAAAATCAAGTTCATAATAGATTTTATTGATGCAAGGCTTCAGATGAAGGTATAAAAATACTCCATTTAAACAAATATGATCCAAACATTGCAGCTACCTTAAGTAAAAAAAGTAACAATTTTGGGGAAAATTGGAGTAAAATCTGATGTACTTTATTTTACATACTGAATTAAAGTAAGGAGGCCTTGGGAAAAAATAAAGAATCAAAATAATCTGGAGTTTTAAAGAGAGAAGTACTCTTCAGCCATGTCTTTACTCATATATTTAAGTCATCATGGCCTCAACTTATGCATTAAATAATGTGGTACAGTGAGGTACAGAGGTCATGCGACTTTTAAACCAAGTAATTCAAAGCTAAATGTTTGTGAACAACTCATGTTATCATGGGTGAATTACTGACAGTATGGGACACCATTCCTGGGTGCATTGAATCAGTGCAGTTACAGTGGGTGACAGACAGAATGACAATGACCTGCATTTGAACTGCAGAATTTCTAATTAACCAACAACTGAATTATAGCCCCACTTCATCTAGATGGTGTTTGCAATGCCAATGTCCACCATCAGAGCAACAAAGTTGAAAAAGAGGAATAGCTTGCGTAGGTCAATAAAGAGAGCAGCAGTTATTATAAGGCTTACCACAGCTAATACAGGAATGCTTCTCTGTGGCTTGTGATGGACCATGAGATGTCATGGAGCCCCAACAGAGAAGTAATTATAGTATACCTTCTAAAAATTAATCTTTTAACACTGCAGACAACTGAAGCCACAGATGAGCGTGACAACATTGCCAAGTGTTGTCTGTCTGTGAATCAGACACAGCTGACTGGTGAAACAGAAACTGCATGTTGACAACACAATGTTATTTTCTCTTTCAGTCTGGGAAAAAAAATTAACAGCTGTGAAAGTATTAAAATATTTCTTGTAGAAAGTTACTAGAAAGTTTCAAGGGAAATAATCAATTTTCTGTTCAGATATTCTCACGGCAGCAGGGAATTTCTACTACAAATATGTACAATATAGAAAATGCATTGTAACTGCATGATTTTAACTTTGTCTATCCATCTCCATTTGCTGCTTCTAATGTTAAAATTGATTGATAACCTCATAGTCTGGGAGCTGTGATAGTGTCAGGGTACAAGATTAATGAGTATACAAAGCAGGGATGGATTTTAATGTCAAACATATAGTCAATCTTTAGGAAATCCCCTTTCAGAAAAATGGGAGAATGAATATTTGCATACAGTTGATCACCCAGCTTATGTACTGCAAAATATAATAACAAAAAAACAAAAAAAAAATTTAATACCTTTGAGATAGTCTTCAGGAGCAAGTGATGACTTTTGTAGCAGCAATTTTGAACATTTACTTCTAAATGAACATTAGGGGTATGAGACACACTTGAACTTACCAAAAGTGATGACTTTTGTAGCAGCAATTTTGAACATTTACTTCTAAATGAACATTAGGAATATGAGACACTTGAACTTACCATGGTCAAATACATAGAAACATTAAGGTCACTTTTTTATAAGATGGTTATTTTTCTATTTTGCAATTCACCTTGATGTGTTTTCCAGCCATCTGAGATTGATTTTTGTAAACTGAAAAACGTCTATTTGGTTCTAGTTTTAGGGCTCTCTAAGGAAAATTCATTGTTGGGGAGAGAGAGGGGTGGTTCAGGCAAGACTTTCTTGTCAAACTTATAGACGAGTTTGGAAAAACCTAACCTTTATTCTTCTATATTAATTTAATTCATAGAGAAAATATAGTACTGACAGACAGTTTCTATTAAGTTGAGCAAAGAAAGTACAGTGAGCTCTAGGCCTATGCCATTGCCATGTTACTTACAGACTCTTTAGGATATACTCTCCCATGCTTTTCAGAGACCTTTTTAAGTTTTCCATATAGCATTTATTCTTGTGCTAGCTAAATGCTGCTATATAGTCTCCAGTAGAAGCCAGAAATCTTGACTTAATGCTCTTTTCATTGAGGTCCAGTAAAGTCAAATGTGGGCAGTGAGTTTGCTATACTACCACTAAAATCAGTGGTGGCTACATTCAGTTTGCATCTACTGATTGTGCATCTGTAGAAGCCAGAAATCTTGACTTAATGCTCTTTTCATTGAGGTCCAATAAAGTCAAATGTGGACATAATACCACTAAAATTAGTGGTGGCTGCATTCAGTTTGCATCTGCTGATTGTACATCTACAGAAACAGAGCTGTTCTACATTTAGCTTTGAACTCAAACAGTGGGTTTTTTTCTGATCCCTTTCATGGAGGGTCTCACACAACTTGTCTTGATTTGTTTGAGGCTGGGAATCATCAACTCTGCCCTGAAGAGTTCAGAGATAGTGACGGATATAGCTCCCATCCTGACAAAAGTTAGGTGCACTGATCCTGTGACATTCCCAGTACCTTAGTTTATCACCCATCTTACAAAGTGTACAAAAAAATGTACAAACCTTTATTTTCTTCCCATCCCCTTCTTGTTAAGTGGCTGTCTTCTCCAATCTTCTCAGATGTTCTTATGCCAGGTTGGCTGCAATAACTACCATAAACAAATGGTGAAAGCACATTGTAATTCATTCATGGGAGCATTTTTTTAAAAAGAAGAATTATTCTTGTCTAAGAAGAAATCAAATATGTCTGACACTGATTTACAGGAGGGAAGAGCAAACTGTAAAAACATGGCCATTAATAAATAATGAGGTACTTTCTGGTAGCTAGGCTGAAAGAAAGCTTTTGGCAGGTGTGAGTAAAAAAACATGTGTGGTCTTTTCATAACTAGTATCAATTAGCTGTATCTTAAGAGTATCAGATGGCTGTATGTATGAGGATTGTGTGTATGTAAAAGCTTAAGTTTAATCAATCATCATTACCTAGCAATAGACTCAAACATTTATTTTGTTGAAGAGTTTATGAGACTACCTTTAGTATTACACTAGGCCTTTTAGTTGTTTATTCATGTTAACATTAAC